TATTTCGACCGAAGGTGTCGAAGTTCTGCAGGAGGTATTTCCTCAAAGGAAGATATTTCAACCAAGGGAGTCGAAGTTTGGCGGGAGTTATGTTCGCCAAGTTCCCAATATTCGAATATTTTGAGAACTCGAAGATAGTTCAATGTAGGGCCAAGCCCAACATCCAAATCTTTGGAGTTCCCATACCACCCACTTTGGCGGATGGTCAGCCAACTCTAGAATTCTAAAAACTCGAAGGGCATGAGGTTCCACCAAATGTCAAGATGAAATCTCGGAGGTCCAAGCCCAAGATTTCCAGAGATCAATGTGCACGTGATGGAGGCCTCACAAGGAAAGAAATCAAGGAGGTTGATGACAATTCGGAATTTTCCAAAACGAGAGAAAATCAAGCAACCATAATATCTTCGCCGACATGATCCATAAATTTAGGGGGTTACAAAAGGAAAGAATTTTAAAAGACTTGACATTTGGCCATTCAATGGCCAGCCCATGGATGCCCTATATAAACCTCACCAAACGAAGGCAGAGGACACACATCATCAAACAGACAAACCTACTTTCGTCTCGTACTTTTCTTTTCCTAGACTTAGGATTTTACTTTTCAAGCACCTAGTGTAGCGAGTTTTTTCCTTTTTCTAGTGTAAGTTTAAATTCTTGTTCAATTTATATTCATTGTCTTTTAAATTCAAGTTTATTTCAATCACTTTCTTTTTCATTGTTATTGAATTTTCATTAAGTTTAAATTCAAGTTTAATTTAGTTTACTGTTCTTATCATTCTTATTTCGTTCCTTTTTATGTATTGCTTTGATCTATTTTATCGCACTTTAATTCTCGCCTTTTCGTTATTTATTTTACGCACTTTACTATACGCATTTATATTTAAATTATATTTAAGTTTAAGCACCTTTACTTTAGGCACTTGTTTTTCGTTTTATTACGTTTCATCTTCAATCTTAATCTTCATCCACTCCACATCATTTGGTTGCTCACATAAAGCCTTGACCCCAAGGTCGTGAAAGAACTTAGGCCGTGAGGAGGTTCCTTGCTCAGCCAAACAATCGTTTGATTAAAGTCATACCTTGGACGCAACATACACTCACATTCCATTCAAGCCAAATTCGTGGCTTGGTGGTGGCACGCCTCGTACTCAAAAAAGAAGAAGGACCAAAAGTTCTTTTCGCCGGCTGCCCCGACCGAAAAGAGGGAAACACGTTCACATAAGTTATCATTGCTTCACATTGATCGGAATCTCCTGCAATTGTTGCAACTATGTTGTACTGGGTTTTGAATAATTTTTTCGCTTTTGCAGTCAAGATAAATGCATTAGTGTCATAAGTTGTACCCCTCGAATCCACACCAACAATGATTGTGTCTTCACTGATAAAAGTTAAGTTTGTTGTGCCCCATCCATTTACCTATAGTAATTCGACAGACATTACACCATTAAAAAAAACAACAAAAAAAGACAAAGGGTGCTCAACTCACCGGGGTTAAGAAGAAAGGAAAAAACGATCAGAACATGGTCGAAGAAACTAGAGACGAGCCTCATATGAAAGAAAGTGAGCCAAAGGCAGAGGAAGACCAAGTCATGGTCGAGGTCGAGGCCAACGATATAGAACAGGACACTGAACGTACGGCCGAAGGAAGACAAGAGGCCGAATGTACCGCTAAATGAGAAGATAAAGAGGTATTGGAAAACCCCCAACCCAATTTTGCATTGGCCGAAGGTTTGATGGCTGAAGATGAAGAATATAGGGATGATGAGTACTTAGAGGAATTTCCAAATGAGAGTATAGAGTATCTTGAAAAGGAACGCAAAGAAGAGATGGCCAAGTGTGAGAGCGAGTTGAAGGTGGGCAAGACCAAAGTAAAGTTTGGGGACTTTGACGAAGTTAATGCCATGGTAATCACACTTCAACTATTTTTCGAAGCTCGACCAGACTGACCTAATTATAGGGACGGAGATGTTTTTGACGAAGTTGAATCCATGGTCCAAATGAATGAGACTAAAGAAATTGAGATGACCTGAGAAATCCAAAGGAAGGGAATGCTCAATCTTACGCCATGGTACCCAAGGCAGAGAAGAAATTGCCAGAACATGTGTGCTATGAAATGCCCACCAAGAAAATGTCATCCCATCTTAAGCCCTTATATGTGGGCGCTCATTTTGGTGGATTTCCGGTGAGAAATGTTCTTGTAGATGCGGGGCTACGGTCAACATCCAACTGGCCTCAATCATGGGGAAATCCACCAAAGGTTGTGGTGCGTTCTAAAAAATATGGTCGAGCGCTTCCCTTTGCTAAAGTGGTTAGGCATATCCTTGCAAAAGTAACCAGGCGTATCTTTGGAAAATTGGTTGAACGCTTCCTTTTGCAAAAGTGGCCGAGTACTTCTCAAAAAGTTGGGCCAGACACTCTTTAAATACTTTGGTCGGCTACTCCTCTTGCAAAAAGTTGGGCCGGGGCGAATTTTCTCCTTGCTCACCCGGGGGCCCTTCTCGCAACACTTGGGCAAGCAAAGTTGGGTCGAGGGAGTTTAAGTTCGATGGGAGGTATTTCCGCCAAGGGAGTTGAAGTTCGGCATGAGGTATTTCCGCAGAGGGAGTTGAAGTTCAGTGGGAGGTATTTTTGCAGAGGGAGTTGTGCCTTCACCAATAAAAGTCAAGTTTGTTGTGGCCCATCCATTTACCTGTAATAATTTGAAAGACATTACACCATTAAAAAAAAAACAACAACAAAAAGACAAAGAAGAAGATGATATGCACAAGGTTGTTTAGAAAAGAAGATGATTACACCATTAAAGAATTGGTAAGCTATATGCACACATTCCTCATCGTGATATGAAATTTATAATATAAATAAACATTATCTATATTATTGAAGTAGTGGTTATAAAAAAAAAGTAGTGTTGATGTCACCAACCTCCTTAGCAACTACGCCATAGCAAGACACCATTTTTACTTTCAAGAACTTTGCGTTCAGAGCATCATATTCTTCACTTTTCAACCATTCATCCCTACCCAGACTTTCTTCTTCTTCCTACCCACCACCAACCCAGTATGCTGGTCCCGACCCACAATTTCTTCAGAAAACATGCCCTTATCTTCCATGACATGTTTGGTCAATGATTCTGACCTAGAACATGAACTCACAATCTCATCCGAACCCAGCTTTCTGTCATTCAAGACAACTGATTTCACAACCTCTGAATCATCGTGTTTCTTTTTAGCAATTTCATATTCAGAATCAAGAAAAAGATTGAGGCCTTGCTGATCAGCAACTACCTCATAGCAAGGGACCATTTTTCCTTTCAAGAACTTTGCATTCAGAGCATCATATTCTTCACTTTTCAACCATTCATCCCTACCCAGACTTTCTTCTTCTTCCTCACCCACCACCAACCCAGTATGCTGGTCTCGAACCACGATTTCCTTAAAAAAGATGCCCTTGTCTTCCATGACATATTTGGTCAATGACTCTAACCCAGAACATGAACTCACAATCTCATATGAACCCACCTTTCTGTCATTCAAGACCACTGATTTCACAACATCTGAATCAACGTGTTTCTTTTTAGCAATTTCAGATTCATAATCAAAAGGAAGATTGAGGCCTTGCTGATCAGAAACTACCTCATAGCAAGGCACCATTTTTCCTTTCAAGAACTTTGCGTTCAGAGCATCATATTCTTCACTTTTCAACCCTTCATCCCTACCCAGACTTTCTTCTTCTTCCTCACCCACCACCAACCCAGTATGCTGGTCCCGACCCACAATTTCTTTAGAAAAGATGCCCTTATCTTCCATAACATGTTTGGTCAATGACTCTGACCCAGAACATGAACTCACAATCTCATCTGAACTCGCCAACTGGTGCCCATATACCTACTGGGCTAAGGCTAAGGCTAACGTAAATAACTTTTTAGCCCTGTAAAATTTGTTTTTTGTTAAACAATACCATGTGATGGTTTTCATGAAATGGTCATGGTATCCTAGGATGCCAACTTGTGTACAATCTCTCTAATAGAGGTGGAGGCAGTGGCGGATCCAGGATTATGTGGCCAAGGGGGCTTAGTGTAAAAGTTCCAAAAATTTTCTACAATGAAAATAATGCTAAAAAGATAGAAAGATAGTACTTCCATTCATAATTCATAACAAAACCAATAATACAAGTTACAATTGTCCACGACGAGTTTTCATATTTTGAAAACGTTGCATTATAGTTTCATTATCAATACAAGCAAAAACATCTCTCTCAATGTAAACAATCAAACTATCATTCAACCATTGATCTCCCATTCTGTTGCGAAGTGGATTTTTAATAATATTCATGGCGGAAAATGCTCTTTCCACTGAAGCAGTTGCAACCGGTAAAACCAAAGCCAATGTAAGAAGCAAATACACAAAAGGAAATATTTCATGCATTCCTTTCTCCACCATTTTTTCCGCAAGACTACTAATCCCTTCCAATTGAGAAAAATCACTACTCGAACGCATATGATGAACATAAACACCAAGTTGATCTTCAAGCATCAATAAGTCTCGATCCGAAAAATCATAAGGATAAAATTGAGCAAGACGAACTAGCTTTCGTTTGTCAAAAGCTACAAAGTTATTTTTCGGACTCAAGCATGCCAAGCAAGTAAGTAACTCAGTACTTACCTCGTTGAAGCGATCATTTAATTCCACAAGTTGCCCATCAATTACATGAATAAAGATCTCCACACGATAACGGTGATAATTTGTCTTCATTGGAGCATTACGCTGTGATCTCCCTGGAATTACATATTCCTCATCCATGTAAGGAACTGTAATATTGTATTTGTTACAAAACGAAGATGCTTGCTCAATCAATTCTTCAAACTCATTATCCCTCATCCACTGTAGGTTTTCCTTGCATGTTTTCACTAAACTCATTGCACTCAAAAGTAGCATTATTGGATCCAGGATCAATAATCCAATTTACTATTACATAAAGCACTTGCAAATTCTGCAGAGAACTTAAGCCATTTTGCTAGTCACATAGTTATGCAAGACAACCCAAACCAATATTATTCGAAAACATATGTTTAAGCAAGACCCAAAACAAAGTCGAACCTGTTTCTGAGTTTTGAAGTCATTGACATCCCAAATACGCAGTGATCCATCCTCGGATGATGTCAAAATGGTGTCTTTAGTTCTAGGGTGCCACTCTCCACAAGTCAATCCAGAAATGTGGCCCTTGGTATTCTTGAGATCACGAATATACATGTCGCCTTTTACAAACTCTCCCAAAGTAAGCCCATCGCGGTCATAAATCTGAAAATTTCAAACAAAGACGAAAATGGTATAGGAAATGCAAATGCCCATTACGCGCCAATCTCATATACACAAAACCAAAATCAAAGAACGCCGAAAATAATAACAAAATTCACACAAGAAGATGTTGATTAAGAGCACCTTCGCTTGAGCTGAGCCTGTAACACAGAGAAAACGATCGGCTGTGGGACTCCAGCTTATGGTACGAACTTGATGACCTTCAGATGGTTCGAGCTGCCTAAAAGATTGCAACTTTGAATTCATTCCTTGGAAATCGTACATTCGCACAGAATAGTCATAGCTACCGGAAACAACTCTAGACCCAGTGTGATCGACGGCGAGGGCTGAAACGACCTTGGTATGGCCCTTCAGCACAATCTCATTGCTTAGCGGAATCCGATACCTATTCTCCAACTTTGAATCCGAATCAGAATCCGAATCCGAATCGTCCATGTTGGACCCCACCGGCGGCCTCGGCGGTCCAATCATCTCGCCATCGTCGTCGTCACTCTCGGCAATCTCAGATTGTGGCGGCGGAGGCGGCGGTCCAACCATGACATCGCCATCCCCATCCTCATCGTCTGCAGGGCTAGGTTCAGGATTAGGGTTAGGTTTAGGGTTTTTGGGGGCGCGGAGGGAGGTGAGCCAGGTTTGGGAGGAGGAGGAGAGAGAAGGGAGGTCGTTGGTTTTGGTGGAGGAGGGTTTTTCTGGAGGATTGTTAACGGAACGACGAGTCGTGTTGTGAATGGCTTCGAGAGAGGTTTGAGCCTTGGATTGCTTGCCAAACGTGAGAGGAAATTCAGCTCTAATTCCGTCGTATATCTCTGCCTCGTCGTCCGCCATTGGAATGTGTCTCTCTGCACTGTGCTTCTTCTTCTCCTTCTTTATCGATGTCCAAAACGTCGGCGTTTCTGGTGTTTTCCGACGGAGACTGGTTTATACGTGTCCAAGCTCCACCGCCATAAATTTTAAGATTTCGTTGCTGTTTGCAACTTTGCCGCGAGAGAAAGAAATAGCTGGTGGGTTGGGGTGGCCCAATTACTGCCCCATTTTGGACTAAGCCCAATTTTTGAAATTTTATTTGGACACCCAGTCTAAGTTTACATTATTCCAAACACAATATAGTTTCTTTTACGTCTGTGACAACCCCCATATAATTAATCTCTTCATAAATCAAAGTCCCAACACTCCTTATAGGTTAGATTATTGCTTATACCTAAAAAAAAAGAGTCAAAGTCCTTTATAAAAATTTCTTTAAAAGAATTCTATGGTGTCCAAAGCCATAACAGTTTATCCTGAAAAATGCAACAAAGCCCTAGAAAAGACTTTGATAAAGTGTGACTATTAGCAATTAAACAATTCTAATAGACGGAAATATAAATAACTATAAAAAAATAAAAGATTTGCGCACTATGGAGATGCTCCAATTGTTGAAGCTCTTGCTGTTGAGATTAGAGACCCTGATAGCAATGACCCAGATCTGATAACCAAAAGCTATGCTTTGGTTTTAATCCCATAATTTCCAAAATCGTTCCGTGGTCATTTAACTTCACTTTCACTTTCATTGGTATAAATGGTCATGCCTTCAATTTTGTTAATTTTTTCTCCTAAATGCAGGAGCAAAATGGTTTTTTTATATTATTTTTTAAAGGGTACATTTCATTACTGTGTTAGCCCAACACTAGGTAAACAGACACTGCCTTACGCTTGGAACATTGCTCCTTTTTTTTGTTTCCCAGATATCGGATTGGTTTGAAACTTGCATATATTTCATTTCCCAGATATCAATAACATCGACTCAGTATAAAAGTTGCTCCTTTTTTGTTTCCCAGATATCGAATTGGTTTGAAAATTGCATATATTTTATTTCCCAGTCCCAGATATCATCAACCCAGTATAAAAGTTAAAAGTTGCACCTTTTTGTTTTAATTTGCCAGATATCAAACGGATTAAATAATTGCTTCTTCTTTTTTCAAAAATGTTTTCCAGGTTTCTAGCTTGTAGAAAATTTGCATCCTTTGCTCCTTCCCTAATATCAAAAGTGTATTATGGTTTGGGTTTCTTATTGTTATCCTCATTGTTTTGATGTTCTCATCGTTGAAGGATTGAAAGAGAAAAATAAAGGTGGGTACTACCAGTGGCGGATCCAGGATTATGTGGCCAAGAGGGTTTAGTGTAAAAGTTCCAAAATTTTTCTACAATGAAGGGTTGGAAGAGCTGTGAAATTGGGACTGAAGGGTTTGGAGAGGTGCTGTGCAGAGTCGGGCTCGGGTAGGTAAGTGATGCTGTTTTTATTTTTTTTTTTTTTTTTTAAACCTGGCCCAAAACGACGTCGTTTTGAGGCCAGGTCATTTAAAAAAAATTTGACTGAGCCTAGACCAAACGACGTCGTTTGGCAAGGCTGATTTTGAAAAAAAAATAGCGCAGCCCAACTGCGCAGCAACAGAAGGAGAGGTTTCGCCTGGGACTTCCATCGAGCAGTTGGTTTGCATACAAGGGGGCTTCTACCAGCAATCCAAGGGGGCTCTAATGGATTCCCTTCCCAAATTTCCAGCCTTCCAAGGGGGCGTCTACCCCCTCTTGTCCTAACGTCGGTCCGCCTCTGGGTGGAGGCCATCAATACAATGGATCCTACATCTATTAGAGAGATAATACATAAATTGATCTTTAAATATGATATTTCTAACATATTTAAATGAAAATTGTAGCACTAAACAATAATAATAATGAGAAAGGTTACTGCTTATTAATACTGTTGAAAAGATAATAATTTCTTTAATATATAAGTTTCGCTTGCAACTAAAATAAAAAATTGCACCCTTTTCTCTTTGACTGTGTCACGCCAATTGGCACTCCGCTGCAATTGCTGGGCTAAGGCTAACGTGCGCCTTATAACTTTTTTGCCACAAACTGCCATTTGGTTTGAAATTCTGTTGCAGACATTTCCAATTTTCCACCCTTATGTAATAATTAAAAATTAATTTTCAAATTTAGCATTATTTATCCCCACGAATTTAGTTTCACGCCTTCTTCCCAAGCAAGTCATTTTCAAAGTGGGAAATATTTTTTCAAAGTAAAAGTTCAATTTTAGTTTTTAGTTTTCAATTTTTTTTTTAGAGCATAGAAGAAAATAAGAGTGAGAATGAAAGTGATGATGAGTAACAAAAGTGAAAACAATTTGAAATATTTTTTAGTTTTTAGTTTTATTTTTTATTTTTTGTACTCATTTCTCTCATCCTCTCCCCTCATTTTCCCTCTCAATCTCAACTCCACTCTCTTTCCCACTTCCATTCTCCCTCATTTCTCTTTATACTTTAGCATAAAAAATGAAAACTAAAATTAAAAAATAGCAAGCAAGATGTTGTAAAAAAAAAAAAAAGTGAAAATCCAAAAGTGGCCTCCTTGTATTTGTATTTTAGTAGGGTCAAAAAGATCTATTTACCCTTATCACGAATTTGATCCAAGTCGGTTGTTTGTCATACTCGAAAGTATTGGCAAATCGCCAATTGATCCCTTTGACAAGAAGAAAAGGTAAGTGTTTTTTTTTAACTTGGTCTATATTCCATCTCACAATTAAAGTATTATATTATCTAAAACAAAAAGTTAGTAAATGAGTTGACCAAAGGCAACAATGACCAAAGGCTTCTCATATGAGCTAGGCCTTCTTGGCCAACGCAAATCATTACTCTGCTAGCAAGTTTACCAAAAATGAATCCTTGCTTCTTCTTTTTTTCATGGTATATAGTATATGACAGTTCAATACAAGTTTTTTGAGCAGAGGAAAGCTAAGGACAGTCGTCATGTGAGATCGTTCATGGACATTAGGCCACAATAGGATCCACACTCTTCAACGATTGAGTCACCCGCGTATGCCATGTCCTGTATGAGATCATATCCTAGCAAAACTCTTTTCTCCCATTACTTCTTTTGCTATTTTCTTTTGCTATAAACATGTTGAAGAGCCTCCTTAAACAGACAAATATAATTATAATGAGACGTGGCGGTTGGTGGTTCTTAACGTTTCATTAGTGTAATCAAACTAATTAGCTTCTCTTTCATCCGAAGTTCAAGTTTTCTTGATTCTTTCGTACAATTATAAAGCTACATTTCATGTTCCTGAATTATCAAACACAATCAATTAACATATTGTAAGTAAGCTTTTGGTCCATTGAATGGCCTAGGATATAGATAGAATAGATTACGTACGTTGGAATAAAGGTCACGTGAAAATTACAATGCATGGCAATATAACTAGTGGCACAAGAGCCGAGCTTAAGTCAGATTTTGCTTTGGGTCACTAGGAGTACAATTCCAAGAGTACAATCATATACATGGAATCCTAGCAAGAGACATTTAGTGGAGAAAAATCGACTTTTATATCAAAGCTTTTCAATGATTGAAGAAAGAATTCAACTTCTACCATCCAAAGAGGATCTGCTTGATTTGAAAGCACTTGTACAATAAGCACACTCATACCTGTTTCATTCCCTCTCTTTCCCTTTGAGGAGATGAAGTTAGGGTCTTGGAGCCAAGTGGAAATTATAGCAACCACTGAATATATTTATAAAGTCATTCTATAGCAACCATCGCAGTTTTCTTTTCGGTCTTTGATATAAGGACATGAAGAAATTCAAACTTATAGATCTTTGTATTCTCACAATCACCTTTTACGGTACATTGAACTAATTATAATCAACAAATTATTGCTCAGTGCAAAGGATACGCTAAAATGCTACAAAGCTAACCTATTAACATATGGAACAGAAAAATGGATGAACCATTTTTAGCTCCACAACTGGTGTCACCTTTGCATTATTTCACTTGGGTGAACTATATGCAACTAGTTAAGCTACTTAATGGGAAAAATGATGGAAATCTATCACTGAACCTGTACAAAACCATCTCTGAGTATCTGATATCTTATATTCACTTCCGTGCTGCGTGATAAAGCTCCATCTAGTCGAGAGCTGGCTTGTTCCAAGACCAATCTTGCTCCATCACTGTCTTGCACAACGAGTTGCACCAATCCCGACATCATACCAAGCAGAGATAGCCCTGAAAACATCGTTTATGAGTACTCCACAAAGAAACATGCTGAACAAATTTTCGTTGGCGGTCGTCGTTGATCGTGGTGTACTGTGAACGATCGTCGCTGTGCAATCTCTGAGTTTTTGGGAAAAGTGTGAAAATGTGGAAGGCGATTTCTCAAGGTGAAGACGAATAGTGAGTTGTGCGATTGGGTTAATGGTATATTTTGTAAATTTGAAAATTGAAAATAATGGCACAATAGCATATGTTGTAATTTTAATGTTCTTTAATTATATTATGGTAAAAGCATGTACTATATTTTGGCTTTTGACTTTATCCTAATTAGCTGAAATTGAATTCCTATTTACCTAAATAGTAAGCTATATTGTGTGTGAAAACTAAAGTTCCCAATAAATTAACTCAAGTTAGGCAACAGGTTTGAGTCTTTATGACATTTTGATAGTATTTGCGACAAAACCTCCTCCAATGGGTTTGGTATGTTGCTGAGCTACTTTTTTGAATTGGTTCCTTTCCTTGGGCTAATCTAACTTAAACGTTTGATATTTTGTTCCTCCCTAGGTAACGGAACCAGTTCGGCTAATCATGGAATTGAACCTTCAAAGCCACCACTGGCTTGAGAATGCCTGATGGAACTAAGGGATTCACAATGGGGCGTGGTCGGATTCTGAGCGCCAACTCCAATCAAAGTTAGCAAGTGATTCGATTGCCGGATCTTTGAGCGATTTTGTGTTTGACAACATTTTCCGATGTATGTGTGGTGTGTGTACTACTGGTGCTGGCGGGCTATGTGAATATTTCATCAATCGGTACACGAATTTCTGTTGAATTTTAGTTGGGTTTGTGAATGAAGCAAGTGTTAAGGTGGGTAAATGCAAAACCATTGTTGTCGTGTTGCACACTTTTCATTTTGGAGCTATTCCAAACATGCAAAACAAATCAAAGATTGGGT